TTTAAGTTGCTGAATTACGGTATAGAATATCCTATAATGATGCAAGATCTTTAGAAACAATTGGTAGTGCTTTGTTTTGCTCTTTTTTTAAGGGCACAACTTATATACAATAAAATGCAAAAGATCTTAAGTGTTCAGTGTCATGAATTTTGACAATGGTATGCACCTATGTAACTATAACCCCGTATAAGATGCTATTTTCATCACTTCCTGAAAGATTCCTTCTTCCTTTTCCTGTCAAATCTCCTCCCATCCTCGAGGCAACATTCTGACCTGGGTCATCATAGTATAGTTTATAGTATAGTTTCGTGCCCTCTTATGCTTCGTATAAATGGAACCACCACACCGTATCTATTTTTGGTGCGGCTTCTTTATCTTAGCACAGTATTTTGAGATTCATGCATGTTATTGAGTATCAATAGTGCCATCTTTTCATTGCTAAGAAGTCCATTGTATAAATACACTAAATTTTTTCATTCATCCATTGGGTTGTTTCCAGATATTTGCTATTATAAATGTTTCTATGAACATTCTGGCACAAATCTTTGTATGAACATACATTTTCTTTTCTATTAGGAAACTAGTAGTAGAATAGCTGAGCATATTTAATTTTATAAGAAACTGCCAAATGGTTCTCCAAAATGGTTGCACTAGCTATGTTTCTAGTGGAAAACTTTTCTTATTCCCCCTAGTTTAAATTTAATATTCTGAAGCAATAACTCAGAATACGTGTTGTCTGAAATAATCCATGTTTCTCCCGAAGTTCCCTGGCAACTAGTTAACAGACGGATAGCCTTGGTACTAGGGAAATGTGACATGACATGGAGCAGTTTCTGAAGCTCCTATTGTCTGTCAAATGGTGAAGGTTTTATTATAAATTCTCACTTGTTTTTCAAGGTCAACAGAGTTGAGACTTTTGTTCTTATAGTCATACCTTGAAAAACATCCCTAGCACAAAAATCTAAAATGTGAGATGATGTGTTTAAAAATTTAAAAAACACATAGTTGAACTCATGAGAAAACTTCTCAAAGGGGGAAAATGACTAGAAATCACAAGTCCACATAGGTAAGCAGCAGTGAACAGATTGGCCACTCGAGAAGCATCTACCAATTCTTGGTGGCTTTAGAGTCTCAGTTTCACTGGTTAACACAGTAGGGGACAGAAGTCAAATGTAAGACAGGGACACTGAAAGGCACTACAAGGGTTGTTTCCAATTCTTGGCTATAATAAATAAAAAAGCTGCCATGAAAATTTATTTACAGGTATTTGTGTGAACATATGTTTTTATTTCTCTTGTGTAACTTCCTAGAAGTAGAACTGTTGGGTGATATGGTAAGTATATGAGGTCTGTCCAGAAAAAATCCAACCATTGTTAATATGACAAGAGCAGTTTGTGACACATCAGTGTAACCTGGAGGTAGGTCAAGGAGAGTGGACTGGAATGTGCATGTGTGGACAATGGTGACTTCACTGTACTAGTCAGTGGGGATGGTAGATGCCACCAAGTGAGTATATTTACTGTGTGCTCATCACATTCAAAATGACTGAGCAAGTAGAGCAACAAATCTGCACCCAATTTTGCATTAAGCTTGAACATTCCTCTGTGGAAACTATTCAGATGATTCAGAAGTCTGCAGCTATGGGCAGCTGGTGCTTGGCAGCTTCATCATGACAACATGTCTACTCATGCATCACATCTCATGCAGAGTTTTTGGCAACACATCAAATCACCCATGCGACTCAAGCCCCCTACAACCCAGATTTGATGCCCGGCAACTTCTGGCTTTTCCCAAAACTAAAACCACCTATGGAAGGGAAGAGATTTCAGACTATTGATGAGATTCAGGAAAATATGTTGGGCAGCTGATGGCAATTGGGAGAACTGTGTGAGGTCCCAAGGTGCCTACTTTGAAGGGGACTGAGACGTCATTGTCCTATGTACATTTTCTTGTATCTTGTATCTCCTTCAAAAATGTCCCTATTTTTCATATTACATGGTCAGATACCTTCTGGGCAGACCTCATATGTTTAACTTAAAGAAAATGAAAGTCTGTTTTCCAAAGTGGTTGTAGTATTTTACATTCCCACCATGTATGAGAGTTATAGTTCATAGAAATATTATTCAAAACAGCAAAAAATAGAAACAACCCACATGTTCACTGTCAAAGAATGAATAAATTGTGGTATATTCATTCAAATGAATACCACAAATAATTAACTACAGCAAAGTGTAACAACATGACTAAAATATATTAAGCAAAAAAGGAAGTCATCAATGAACACATATATATTCCATATATCTGTATACATGTCTAAAATGTTAAATAATGTAATGTTATTTAGGAATAAAAACACTTTGGAAAGACTACGATAAAGCAAAGGGGTGATAAACACAAAATTCATGATAATTGTTAACCTCTGGGAGAGAAGGAGAGTGTAGGGATAGATGGGAAGGGTAGGATGCTTCAAAGATGTTCGTGATATCCTGTTTCTTAATCTGTGATAAATACATGGTGTTTATTTTTTATTATTCTCTAACTGGCACAATACATTTTATATATGCTTACATATGATTTGTTTATAATAAAAGCTAAAAAAACATAAAGATAGTTTGTGTTACGTTGCTTTTCTTTAAAAAGAAAACATGACTGACTTGGGCATTGGTCCAATACTGTAATGTACTTTTCTATTCTATTTAGTATTCTATATACTTACTCTGAGAGATTGCAGTCTTAGTAGTGGAGTAATTCTGGAATGCATTCTATCTCTGGGAGTGAGAATTGAGATGTCTGATTCCCAGCAATATTATTGCCAGTAGTTAAATTCATAAATCCTTATTTATGGAGATGAGACTATAGCCCATCTGATAACAAAAATGACTGAGTAGAATTCATTTATTTCTTAAAATTATACCGGGGAAGGATATGCCCTTGATTTATTTTCCAATTGAATTATTTAAAACTAAGGTTTAAAAAACATAAAATCATCTCACAGCCAAATGTAAAGGATATATCATCAACTCTAGAAAGCCCAGATCATCATTCATTGGATAAGACTGTAATACTGACAGTGAAAATTTGCCTACCTCCCTTCTTGGTCATAGCATAAGTATATACATTCAAAAAGTTGAGGATTTCACAAGATATAATGTCTAGCAAGGAAAATGGAAACATGGCAAGAAATACATTTTTCATGTATTTTAGTAATATAAAAAAAGCTATGGAGTTCTATCAGATGGTACAGTTCTATCTTTGTCCTGGGACAATATTTAAAAAAAATCAGCTACTATTTGATTACAACTTTGTTTATAGATAAATTATAAAATTGTGTATTTGAGTACATTACCTTCTCCCCCAAATAATATCTAGCAGCTCCAGTATGAAATGTGTTTGTAGCTGGAAATCACATGAATTATTACAGAAGCAATTTCAAATATAGGGGGCAATGAACCTTTAATTTATTAAATAATAAAAATATAATCATTGGTAATGAAACACATAATGGAACTAGTAACAAAGTAAAAATTGCAAGCAAAAAATATTTAATGTCCATCAATAGCTTGCTTTTCTTTTCAGTTTTAATCAAGGTGTATGACTAGAACTAATTTTTTAAAATGGAGTAATTCTTCTATTGTGTTCCACATTATTTGGAAATTTTAAAAAATGTGTTTTGCCCTATATGGTAAAGAAAAACATGTAAAAGTGGAATTGAGCACGTTACTAATTTTCTTGTACCAGCAATGACTGGCAGTCTGAGAGAGAGGCCTCCTGCTCCTTAGGAGATCACCATGCCTAAATAGGGATCCCCAATTTTTGTATAGTGAGCTTTATTTACTTGTGGAATATGGGTTTTCATTTTAAATAATATACATTGGGATAATTTTTTAAAGTGTTTTCATGGTGCTATAACCCCGTGAGGTTAGCAGGATCTAGAGTTATTATCTTTATTTTGCCGATGAGAAAATAAGATTAATGGAAATTAAATTGCTCAAGTACCTTGTCACCAATGGCTTTGTCTTTTGATGTTCTTGGTGTTTTTTCTATTTATATCCTCATTTCTTTATCTGATGCTTGTCTTCAGACAAAAATATAAGTTTTGTCTCCCTGTTATATTTTATCTTTGGAAAGTCAGGTAGGCCAATTCATGGCCACCCAAACACATTAGGTACTAATCCCCAGAACCCATAAATGCTACCTTATAAGGGAAAAAGGTCTGTACTGATGTGATTAAATTAAGGACCTTGAGATAGGGAGATTATTCTGCACCAGCCGAGTGAACTCTAATCCAATCACAAGGGTCCTTATAAGAAAGAGGCTCAGGGAGCTTTGACCCAGAGACACGGAGGAGAAGGCACCAAGACCGCACAGGCTAAGTTTGGAGTGGTACGGCCACAAGCCAAGGAATGCCAGCAACCACCAAAAGCGGGAAGAAGGGCAAGGCACAGACTCTTCTCCAGGACCTTCAGAGGGAGTGCAGTCTTGCAGACACCTAGGTTTCAGACCAGTAAAACTGGTGTTAAATGTCTGGCCTTCATAACAGTAAGGGAATGAATTTCTTGTTTTAAATCACCAAGGTTGTAGTAACTTGCTGCACAGCCCTCGGAAACTAATAGCAGTACCGTTCATGATTTTCATCCCTGTTCGACTCCATGCGACTGACTTGAACCTCTTGTGTAGCACAGATGAATTCCGGGGAACCTGAGGTTTGTCCATTAAAACTTTCCCAGGAGAGGGAGCAGTTAAAATGCTAGGATTCCCAAGCACTTCTGTACAAGGACGGTTGGCTGAAAATTAATAGAGAATGTTGATAAATTTTAAAAAGGAATCATTAAATGAGGTAGCTATTATTAATTCACACAAAAACAGAGTCTTGTCATCGGTAAACTAAAATGTGCTGAATCCACCTAAGAAAAACTGGGAGCTTTTATTGTGTACTTATTTGAATGCCCAAAACACAAAATTTCATAGTAAAGAAATGTTTGGGTTTTTTTCCTTTATAGGAAACATATTGGAGCTATCATGTCTGGAAGTGTGCTTACAACCTAATCGCACCTATTCACTCCCCTCCTCAAATTTTTCTTATGTGACTTTTCTGGAGCCAGTAAAGGAAACGGAGGCTATAATGGGCATATTTCTAAATCACTCCAGCTTTCAAAACTTCACCAGGATATGCCAAGACATCAGCAGTGAATTTACAATGTGCTCCTCATGTTTGGTTTGTGAGTCCAAAGGAAACATGGATTTTATTTCTCAGGAACAAACATCGCAAGGTAAATGCAAAGGGAAAGTGAGAATAAAACTTATCGAGGATAAATGGCCTTATTCTGTTATAAAAGATATTAATAGCATATTCCAACTTGGAGTCCATTGGCAATGGGACGCTCCCTGGGCAGCTCTTGGTGAGTGACGTGTGGGGCTTCGGGTGTTGCTCGTTCTTGTTGTACTTTGTCAAAAAGAAAATATATTTAAAGTATATCAAAATGCCACCGTAGTTCACATGCATTTCATGGTTAAAAATTATTTAACATGGTTTTTCAAAGGTACTGAATTTTAAAAAATGATTTTAAAAATTCTAAGTAAATTTGTAAGTTCTCATAGTAAAAAAATCATATTTTGATTCTCTAAAGAGTCATTGAATTCCTGATGCATTTGTAATATCCATATTTTGCCATGTATAATACCCACTTTTTTTGCCCAAGTTTCTGAGGAAAAAATAAGGATGCACATTATATATAGGTATCACTAATTTGTTACTGGTACACACAATTTCTTGCACCTTGTATCTGTTCCTGTGTTTTGTAATTATCTGTCACGCAACATTTCTCATGCCATAATATGATAAAAAATAATTGCTAAAATTCTTTATAATACAAAAACTAAGCATCTAAATATCAATCAATAAATAAATAAATAATCAAATTAAAAAATTAAAACAAAAGATTTTTGCCTGAGAGTTTGACCCAACAACATGGGTGTGTGTTATACATGGTGAAATACTGTACTTCTGCTTAATGTTTACCAACTGTATATGAGCTGTCATTTCACCTGTCTACCTATCCAGTGAGCCTCTTGATGACAAGAATTTTGTCTTTGTTCACCAGCATATTTCTGTATCTCAGAATGTGTTATTACCTGAAAACAAGGTTATTGCCAGTGTAATTAGTTAAGATGAGCTCGATAGGGTGGCCTCTAATCCAGTATGATTGGTGTCCTTATAGAAAGGAGAAACGTGGACACGAACAAGCACAGAGGGAGGGCACCAGGTGGAGTTCAAGGCAGAGATCAGGGTGATGCTCCTACAAGACAAGGGACACCAGGATGGCCAGCAGCCCCCAGGAGCCAGTGGGGAGGCATGGAGCACATCTCACCTTCAGAGCCCTCAGAAAGAAGCAACTTGGCAACACCTTAACCTTGAAAGTCCAGCTGCTAGAACTATGAGACCATACATTTCTGTTTCTTAAACCACCCAGTTTTTGGTACTTCATGATGGCAGCCCTAGCGAACCAGTATAATGACGGATGAGCAGTACTGTTGTGACAATTTTGAAGAATAAGCTCTGTTCCATGAATTGTCGTAGAAATACCTGCGTTTTCTTTGAGATGCTCTGATCTATTTCAACCTTACTGTCACCTGGTTTTCACAATCTCTTGAATGTAAATCATTGCTTTTAATGCAGGTAATTTCTTGTTTTTCCTTTTTTTATGTAAGAAGGAAAGAATTTAGCTTTGAGTTGTATTACTATGTATTACTATTTTGTGAATAACATTTTCTTAATCTCTCTCTAGTTCTTATCATGAGAGGATCCATGGAAATGAAGGCAAATGATTTTCATTCAGCTTGTCAACACTTTAACTTCACTGTAGAGCCCACAGTTGACCACTTGGAGGAATACAACATTACCTGCAATCTAAAAGCAAACACCAGAAGTTTGGCAATCATGGAGGAAGATCCAGCCAAGGAAAAGTCTATGAACCATACTTGTAGAATCATGAATTACCCGAATAATTGTATACACATTTCCTTGCACCTGGAAATGGATGTAAAAAGTAAGTTTTAAAGGAAATTAGAGGGAAAAGAGAAACTATATCAGGGTTATCACATTAACTTCACTAAAAGTCAAATAGTTGAAGAGTTTTATGGATGAAATAATATGGCTGGAAAACTGTTAGCCCTTTTATCTATTTTTTTTCAATTTGGGCTTTCATGGGGCCCAACTATACCTGGAGGCAGAAGTAGCATCTATGGGTTGTCATTTGAGGGTCACTAGAAAGACCCTCTCTTAGAATAAAGGCCTTAGAATAAATTTTGCACATGCATTTAGTTGTGCTTGAAGTCATACTACTACACTTGGGTATGAGATTAATTTTTTTATGTAAATATCCACGTACATTGCAGCATGCTATTAAAATCTTATTTCAAGTTGATTTAACATGTCCTCTCTTAGAGCTGAGAACCAGGGCTGGCTTAACTGGGATTTTGGATGGAAAACCAAGAAGATAGGCAGGGTCCAGGTTAGGCAGTTTGGGTCACTGGATGGCTTGTGGGGACTGTAGGAGCCCCAGAGACAAAACTTACATATGTCCTAGTTCTGATGAAGACTGCTTAACTTCCTAGTCACTCTCTTCTGAATTTCCACAATCGATCATTTCTTACTAAGCAGTGCACCCGTACTTCCCCCCACAAAACCTGCTCTTGTAGAGCATTTTATAATACAACCATTGAATGAGTGCCTGCCGTCTGCCAAGCAGCGTGCCAGGCATTGGAAACACAAAGACAGATGAATGTGAAACAATCAAGCAACTGCATTCAGGGTGACAGGAGCAACGACAGAGTAACTTGCTGTGCGTCTGGGTATTCTAGACAGTGGGGGCCCTTCAGGTGACTTTAAAATGGTTTTCTAAAACTTTATTTTTGAGGCAGATATTTTAAAAACATTTTATATTTATTCTAAAGCCAACAGAAATAGATAATATGTATGCATTTGTCGAAGTAAAATACATGACTTCAGAGAAATTTCGCCAGTGAGTTAGTTTGACCAGGGCCCTACAGCTTCTGTACTTGGGAGGCATTTTAAGATGTGCGTATGTGTGTGGGGACTGGGAGGGCATGAGAGAGTTGACCCCTCTGGTTCAGAAGTGAGATTGGAAGGCAGGTTTTGGAAAGGCTGCCTGTGGAAGGAGACTATGATAAAATCTGAAAGATAAAGAGGTTTGGATTATAGATACTAAAACACTTATTTTAATGTGCATTTATGTATCCATTGAATTGTATTTTATATTTTCTAAAACATAAAGGGAAAGATAAGCATTTCTATTACTCTGATTTTAAGAGGATTTATTTTTGTGGGAAATAATGGAAAAATCCATCAATTCTAGTCAGAATGAAATGACAGTTAATTTTTTGCTCCCATAATTCAGAAAGATAACAGAGGTGCACAAATGGGTTGTCTCATATTCTGGAAAAATTGTAGCCCTTTGACCATGTGTAAGAGATTAAAGAATGATTTGTTTTTTCCTCTGCTGTACAAAGACTAATGTGATCTTTTTTAAAAGCCCTATCCACCAGGGGATGAAACTAAATTTAGTCCAATCTGGTCAATTTACTCTGAAATAATACCTTAAACTGTCACTTTAGATGTTTTTCAGATTTTTGTCTGTTCCCCCTCGGTTCTTTGCAAGATGGCCTCAGGGATGCGGGGAGACACCTGGCCCCAACTGTGCACAGTCGGCTCTAGCAATATCAAGTTGGCGAATGCATGGTTTTTTTCATAGCTAGATCAGTGCCCAGTGACACCTTGGTCATGGGACCCACCTTGGTTCTTGCTGGCGCTGCAAATCTTCTATTCCAATTAACTGCCTGCCTGTATCTTGCTGAGTGAGAAAGGCAACTGGCTATCATGGAATGACACTGAGGAGGCTGAGTGCTGCCATCCCAGGCAATTCTCACCTTTCCCCCAGTCAGCCTCTCCTCTGAATAAATGTTCACTGCTTATGTAATGAGCATCTGCCTGTGGAGGGGACCCCTGGGAAAGGAGCACCACGGGGCAGTTATCCAAGGATGTAAACAAGTTACGTATCTGGCTGAGTTGAATAAGTACTGGCTGTGTTTTGTGTACAGGGAAGAGGGTACAGAGGATGGCTTAGAAAGTCAACCGTCCTCCCCACATTGCCTCACTGTCATTGGAATGAACGAATAAGTTTCTACCTATATATTCATTAAGTATAGACTGGGATAACTGCATGTTTAATGAACACACACACTTGTTCTGATCATCACTGTGACAGCCCCTTCGAAAAGGGGTTCTGGGTATTCACCTGCCTGGCCTCTCCCTCCTCTGCCCCAGCCTAGCCCTTTCTCTTTGCCTTCTTTTCTCTACTTTCCCCATCCTCCTCATATTCAGTGCATCTTTGTTGATTTGAGGATATAATTTTTAGCTACTTGGCTCTGTTGTGGTCTTAACCTGTGATAGAAATGACAGTGAAACTAACACCAGCATAAACTGTAAGTGAAATTAACCCTAGAATTTTGGACCTAACTTGATTCCTGGAAGCCTACTTAATCAAGTTTCTTCATTTAGTACGTGATGGAAGAATTCAGGAGAGCAAATTACCCTATGAAGTGATGTTAGGTACTATTTAGCTTTTTGGTTAAGGGCAGAATATGTACTAGAACCCAGTTCTACCACTACATAGTGTCTTATCTGTTGCACATTTTATTGTATTTTTACAGTATTTTTTTCTTTGCAGATTTCTATTGTTCCATGAAGATCACTTGGTATATTTTAGTAATATTTGTTTTTATATTTTTGCTCATCTTCACTATTCACAAAATACTTGAAGTCCATAGACAAATGCAGAAGTGGCAGAGTAAGTATTGAGAAATAAATCCATCATTTGGGATACTCTATTTAGTCTCAAGGAACTCCTAATCTTATCTATAGATTCTATTTCTTTTTAAAATTCCACTTACCATTTACTGAGTGCTACTGTGTATAAGTGGTGAAGATAAGCATAAATAAGACAAACACCAGCATTCAAGAAGAACCATGTGTCTTTCCCCTCCCCAGACAAGTGAATAGGAGGAGAAGGAAGACTGGGGAAATCGAAAGGAAGCGATGCACTGAAGGTCGAGCAAGAGCTGAGTGGAAGTGAGTGGAGACGAGGGGTAGAGGAATGGAGAGTGGTGATAGAGTTGGAGATCTTGAGCAGAGTAGCTCCAGGTGATGAATGTGAGTAGGAGCCAATCTGTAATAAGGGAGAGTGAGTCAGCAGAGTTGAGGCTAGGATGAGTTAAAATGTGGAATTGGAAATCAGGATAATAGGGATAATATTCAAAATATGTAATAACTAGTATGATGCTCACCTGTCAGGATGGACACTGACTGTTAACTATTGCTGTGGTCCTACTGGCATGTTCCCCTGCATATCTTGGCCCTGCTGGTGTGTACCTACCCATCTAGTGTGTACCCGTGCAAATACTGGCTGAATACCAGGCCTGATCAAAAGTAACTGGTCCCTTAAAGACAAGAGAAAAACGCATCACGATGAGATTAGGCCTTGGAGATAAATGGATGTATTAGAATCCTAGGACTGCCACTTACTGGTTATGTGACTTTGAGCCAGTTGCTGATTGTATCTGAGAGTCCCTTTTCTCTTTTGTAAAATAAGGCTAATCACCAGTACCTCCCAGGGCTGAAGTAAGGATTGAACTAAAGAGATTGCATAAGAAATTAACACAATGTCTAGTGCATGGTAATGCTCAGTAAAGGAGAGTGGTATTGCCATGCTTAGATTATTGCCCAAGGCTCTTCTGTTCTTTACCAGGCAAGGCTGTCAGACATTTCAGCAGGCCAAGCAAACGGTTGCTTCCAGGTCAGAACAAAAGTTAGTTCTTTCAATAAAGTATTTGTTGCAGATATTTCCGGGGGCAGTTTCATATCAAGTTTTGTCACTGATACCTTAGTAAGAAGACCCCCTAATGCATCGGTTGCTCATCATAAATTTGTGTGTTTGTAGAATAACCATTTTCATAAGATTTTGTCAAAGTATGAAAACAGGTTATGTATTATCATTTTTATTTCATAGATGAAGAAACTCCTCAGAGAGATTGTTGTTTTGTCCAAAGTTATACAGCTAATCAAATGTCAGCTTTAAGACCTAGGGTCTTTCTAACTTTGGAAATTATATTATTTTAAATAAATAGTATGTTATTTGCAAATAGTACTTAGTTTTGAGTTTTTGAATCCATTTTTCTGTATAATTGCACATTAAAAAGGAGATAAAGAAGCCAGAAGGAAAATGGGTCTAAAAAGAGGTGAATAGTAGGAAAGGACATTAAATTTCTATGAACATCTAGCATCATGACAAGCTTAAATAGCTTTCAAAGCCTTACCTTACAAATTCAAACACATACAGTGATGAAAAATGTCATGTCACTTAGGACATTAACTATTGTTAAATATTAACTCAGAATACATTAAGTATTCTGCGTATTGTATGTATGTGCATAAAAATAATATAACATTCTATAATAGGAACCGGGCATTGCAGAAGAGGAGATGGCATTATGACATTTATGGCAGTGGAGAAGCCACTGGTCTCAGAAAGCAGCTGTATTTGTTAGTGAAACGTAACTTCAGGAGAGGCTCTAATGTCTCACTATTCCAGACCCTGTTGTGAATGGCCCATTTTCCTTGGTAATTCTTTGAATCAACGTGGGGAATATATTTTTGGAATGTGCTTGTTTATTACCTAAATGTTGAATTTCTTTTCTTGGAACAGGCCATAAATACAAACCTTCATCTATTCTTTTAAGAGGGAGTGATTCTGAGAAGCTTCGAACATTGAAAGCACAGGCTCTTTCAGGTGAGCTCCGGGACAGGTGAACAGAACGCTGCTTAGCAAACTCCAAAGCTTCACATTTCAACATAAACTCAAGATCATGAGCTCTGTGCTTCTTTAAATTGGCCTTGTGTCTGCAAGAACGGAACGATGGGCACATGATATCTAGTTTAATATGTCTTATCATCAGGGGACAGTTACAATCAAAACTGCCTCCTTAAATAATGGAAAGTTCGCTCAACTGGCAAGAAGAAATTCATGTGGCTAGGCAGAGTAGAAAAACCAATTAGGAATAAGTCTCAGATTTACTTTTAAATGAGACAAGATACCACTATTCCTCAGAGTTGCAAGAAGTAATTGCAGAGCAAGCATGGCTTTTGCTGGAGCCTTCACTAAACAGAGGGTGTCACTGTATAAAGGCAACTTCTAACAGCCCCAATTAAAAAGTCCTCTGTCCTCCCCCAAGAAACAGGAACGAGTGACGGAATCGTAATAAGAGTAGGAAGAGGCTGCTGGCACGGATGCTGTGGTTCTATTTCCTCCTTCAAACTGTGAGGCCTCTTTCTGAATTTAAGCCATCAAATCACATTAAAATGACAGAGAGGGAGAATCCGACATGGGCAAAGGGCTGTTCTTTATCAGGGAGAAGTAATATCCTTGAATCTTTGAAAGCCACAGAATTATGAGTGATATTACTACAGCTCCTCGTGTACAGCCAGTGAGCAGACTTCTTTGTACTCTGTAAGAAGTTACAGAAGGAAACTCCATGCCTGGAGCATAAACTGTTTTCAAAAAGGCAAGGCAACTGAACGAACCTGGAGCACCGTCCACTTGCCTTCTGCTGCATCTGTAGCCATTTCATTGGGTGCCATGCTCCTGAGACATTTCCTAACTATTTAAATTAGCCGGTACTCAGCCCCTTGGCTTGAAGAAAAATTGGATTGGGTGCACCTAAAGAGCTCACTTTTATTTTTTAAAAAATTGGGTTTCTATTTTCAGCATTAGCAGTAAAATTATTAACCTATGGTTAATCAGCATTAGCTAAATAGTCATTGGATACCAGCTAAAGGCGGAGAAAGCTGATGGAAATTTGGGGGGCTCAGTGACAATTTGGTTTGGTTAATGAACTAAAAATCACAGGGTTGTTTCCAGTGGCAAAATTACTTTTTTTAATCCTTGCCTGAGGACATTTTTTTCCATTACTTTTAGAGAGAGAGGAAGGGGGAAGAGAGAGATAAAAACATCAGTTGGTTGCCTCCCACACACGCCCTGACTGGGAGTTGAACCCCCAAGCTTTTGGTGCATGGGATGCCACTCCAACTAACTGAGCCGGGGCTCAAAATTAATTTTCAAAGGGAGAGAACAGTGGTTCCCCTTGTGTCCCTTCTTATCCAGTACGTGTGCTTGACATCCATACATCAGGAATGTTTTAACCGGCTCTGTAGGGCTTTTTTGGTGGCCTTAGGGAATCCCAATCCTTTCTCTTTCAAGTCATAAATTTGAGCACTGCAGCCTTGTTGGAGAAAAAGCCAATAGTTCCCCTGTCAACATAGATAATCAAGGGAGTCACAAATTTAAAGTTCTAGCAATCCAAAAGACTAACCTTACACAATGTATTTATGAGCCTGTGATTTTCATTCACTAGGGAAACCTGCCTCAGCCACGCTTTCCCTTTAATAGCTCTCACCAAAAATCCTCTGGCTTCATTACTAGGTATAGAGTATTAATGTTTAGAGCATGCCAAGGGATGGTGGCCTGTTTGAAAACGAAGAGTCCTTTTGAGGTTCAGCATCTTAAAAGGGATAAAAAGCAGATTTTTTCTTGTTATTGATATCCCTTTAACCTACATGCAATTTTTCCTTCTCCCATTAGAAGTTGCTCTTTCTGAGAGAGAAATGGAGAAGAAATAATGTCTCCCTCGAGTGCTGTTTTTAAGGCCTCTCTTTGTAATGATGGATTATAGGCAGTAGTGAGAATGGAAGGAAAAAATGTGCCAGCATGGTTCTCCGGAGAAGCAGTGACACGAGTTAAAAAAAATTGTAGTTCAAAGACAGCAGGGACTGTAGTCACATTCAGCAGATCAGCCTGCCATTGACACTGGCTGCTCAGTCCGGAACGTCTCTTTAGTTGTTCATGCTTTACAAAGTAGGCATTGTTGCACGCGCACACACAGAGATATAGACATAGGCTCGCACCCTCAAAAAGACAAGAGAGCAGTAAGGAGAGGTCACCAAGATGCTGGCACCGCACAGTGCCTGGCACGTCATGGGGCACAGCAAACACTGATGGGAACAATGAGTCTTGCTGCTGTCAAAGAAGTCGTACAGTATTGACTCCCCAGCTTTCATACCTCCCTGAGATTTTCTTCCACACTTTGAGGAGCACAGTGGCATATGTGGCCTGTTTTGGCACTGATCTATTTCATATTTAATTCATTCGACTATTATCTTCAGACGGGTGATGATTCTGTCTTATGTGCCTTTGGGTGCTTGTCCCTGGCATAATATCAGGCGTGTAGTAGTTTATGGACAATAAAAGCTTATTAAATCACACAAAACCTAAGGGGAAATGTGTATAGAGAAAAGAGCAGGTGAATAAGAAATGAATCTCAGGGGTGGAAAAGGTGAAACAAATGAACAAAGAGTGATCAGATGGAACATAAGTACTTCATTAAAGAACATATTACGCACTTCATAGAAATCATCAAAGAACGATGCAAAACACTGACCATCTTGAAGATTGTGAGAATTGTGCAAAAGCAGCTTTAACATGTATCCCTAGAAACGATGCTTAATGAGTTGACCCCATGGGAGACCAGGGCCAGAGAAAGAAGCAGTAGACTAGGACCCAAGTCATTGGATGCAAACAGTGAAACCAACTTGGCTGACTGGGCAGAAAGGAAATTTATTGGAAAATCAATATAGAACCCACAGAAGCAGCAGGAAGGTTAGAGACACTGAGCCTGGAAAATAAAGAGGAGTCAAGAGAGGCTAGGCAGCCAGAAATACCTCCAGAGTTACACCACTGGGATGGTTGGGTGACAAAGCCTCTGATGGCATCACCCCCACTCTAGCAGGATTGCACGTCCCAGGGGGAAGTATCTGACTGGCCTAGTTTAGGCCAGGGAGCCGAGAGTGGGAATACTGGCCCTCTGGCCACCTGCACACTTAGAGTCCCTCTCAGATATCCACCTGCTGCACAGCCAATACATAAATGCCTGCAACACCAGGTGTCTGGGATTAGAGCCTCCACCAATTCCTGCTTCCTGGGTCAGTTGACAGGGTCATTTCATCTCTCTTCTCTATGTCCATCAAAAATGCTCAAATTTTGAAAACTTGACATTCTTCATTTTCAAATAGTCCACCAAAATCTATTGAACACGGACTACACACCAGGCATCACGCTCAGTGCTGATGACAGAGTGGCACATGTGACAGCGCAGCCCCTGCCTCCACAAAGCCGGCGCCACAGTTAAGGAGACTCTGGCTGCCTCAGGAGAAGGGAAACCAACTAAACAATAAAAACGCCCATTTTTATTGTTAATAACCGTATTGTTAAAAAGGTCCGTTAAGGACCTTCCATTTGCACAGTGCTTCCACGTGAATCATTTCATCTCATCTCATAAGAACCCCACATTTTCTCCTGATGAGAAAATGGAAGCTGTGAGAGTTTCAGTAACTGACCCACAGCCTGGTCCTAGCAGCATCGGGGCTCAAACTCAGTTCTGCCCAATGCGCACTTCCTAGCACCTCCGTGTCAATGGTGAACTGGGGAGCTTACCTCTGCTGGTTCAAGTCAAGATCAAAACCCTTCACGCACTTGAATATTTAACACTGGGAACCGAGATGAGACATTTCCTCCATAAGGCTGTAGAAGCTTGTGTGAGATGCTGTGAATCATCCACAAAGGAACGTTTCAGCACCGGCTGACATGCTTTTGGTCGTTAAGGTGGGTAAGTTTGTAGGGACAATGAAGGAAAGAAAATGGCATTTTATTGTTAAAGAGAATTAGTACAGGCCAAAAGTGGATGACTCAGTAATTTGTATTACTCCCCAAAACAAAACTAATGGCAATGTAAAATCACAGTTTGCAGCAGTTTATGGCCAGTATGATAAAGACTAAGCAGGTTTCAACTGCCTGCAGAAGACAAGATAAATGACTGGTGCCAGATGTCTAGCCACCAAGCAAGATAACACGGAAATTCAATTTTTACTTGCTGAACTATGATCTTTATGACTCTTAAAATACAGATTTGAGTTCATAAAACAGCAAAGGTTATAGCCATCTGCACGGTTACAGAATAGATCAAAATGCAGAGAGTGACTGTACAAGCAGAAAGAAACTCGTAAGTGTGAAGAATGTGTAGGCAGGAAAGGGTGATTCCACTTATTCGTTCATTGAATGCCTCTATGTGACAGCCATTTATGTCAGGTATGAAGGAATCAATGCTAAAGCCTGTGCAGATAAACCTTTTCTCCATCTCTGCACAGACTGTCCTCCCTGCCTGACCCATCCTGCCCCCCTCGCAACCCCCTGCAAACCTCCCCTCCTCCCGCCCTGGCTCAGCAGACGCCTCCTTGGGGAAGTCACGTTGGACCTTCCAGACTAGACAGTTTTAGGATCACTGTCAACAGTAACAGATGGAACCTCGCACATAGTAGGGAGTGGGCACCTGGAATACTGGACATCTATTTTAAGCTACCATAATTGGTTCTGTCAGCACTGAAAGGCTACATAGGGCTCTCTACGGCTCGCACAAAAGTGCCAACGTTTGTGGGATGGCAAGGTTAGGGGTACAGGAGGGGTCAAGTTCTGCCTTGCTCTAGCAATGAGAGAAATCACTGCGACTGGAAGGTTTTTGAAGTCCCTTAGAGAACTGAAACCCCCAAACCTGAAAATCTCCCCATCTGTCTTGACCACAGTCCCCTGTGGAGGTTAACTTGAATTCCTCAGTTTTGGAGGAGTTCTTCTGAGGAAACCAAGTCCTTTGTGGGTAACAGTTTAGACACTCCCTGCCACTGTCTCCACGAAGGGTCAAGTATGGAGGAGAGGAAGGACGCAGGGAGGCCATCATTTCCAGCCCTGGCTGTCCTTCCGCGGCTGCTGCTGAGCACATCCGCAGGGCCTCCTGCCTCCTGAGCAGACCCCTTGGGTGGGCTGAAAAGGACGCTGGTGGAAATACTGTTTTGCGCTTTGTAAAGATTTTTATTTTCCAAAGTACATCAAATACACCTTTATTACCTCACATTACCCTTACCTTTATTTTCCCCTATAAGCAGCAAGGCAGCCGCACTAGCTTTGCCGACACCACAGGGAAATGGTCTCAGTGGTTCGGACTGCGGAACTTTCAGTCCACACGACTCGCACCCAGGGAGGCCGGAACTTGTAGGGCAGATGCTGCCTGGAGCTGCGGAGCCGCACAGGTGCCCCTGTAGGTGCACCTGCCCCGTCCAGTGCCCTCCTTCAGGCCTGGGGGCTCAGCCTCCCGCAGCGGCAGCACACCGAGAAGGATCCGTGGTGCAACCCCGCTCATGTCAATAGGCTTATGAAACCAGAAGGCGAATGTATTAATTCACAGAGTAACGCAACAGAGAGGAGCTTTCTGACAGCAAGCATGGGTGTTCCCTCTCCTTAGAGAGAACCACGTGGGAAGGCAGATCACAGCCACGCCTTGTTTTCGCAGGTCTTAACGTGGCCCTTGCCAACGTAGCTGGAGGGGCCCTCCATGCCCCCCGGTTTAGCAGTAGCCTGATCTGCTCCCATGACCCTTTTAACACTTAGCAGGCTCTGGCCTGGGGAGCCATCTCTGAAGGTGACTCGGTGTGTTTCTGCTCTGATTATGGGTTGATTTGCTACATTGACTCTCAGAGGACAATCTTGTTTTCCTTATCCCCCAGTTCCTAGGTGGCGCCCCAGCACCTGTAGAGCTTCTACCTGCACCCTCATTAAGGAAAATGAGGCACAAAGAGGTTAAATAACATTCAACACGTCTTTACTGAGGACCCACCACGTGTCATGCTCCCAGGTGGCTTTTGGGGAATAAAACCATGCATAAAATACAATTCTTATACACAAGGAGGCAGACAAATGAGCAATTACAGCAACGTTGGATAAATTCACTGTCGGGGAAGGAGTCATCACAGAGGGTCGCCTATGGTGTGGACACCTAACCCTGCTGACTGCTCCTTGTTTTGTTTTGTTTTCGCTATTTTAGTTTCCCAATGTAGTAACCAAGTAAAATATAGTTGAACAAACAGATAAGAGAATAAAAAATTGATGAGGCCAATCCTTTAGCAGCCAAGAGAGTGCTGGTAGGAGAAGGAGGTTTTAAACGTGGCTTCCCTGTGGGAGATGGACCTTGTCTTTGACCCGAAAACCACCAGGAACAAAGCGAAGAGAACATCTTGTGAGTTCCTGTCGCTCTGTGGGAATCACAAATTACCTTGGAAGGGTGAATTGAGGTTAGATACCAGATGTCATAGCTATAAAAAAAAACACTTGGAAAGTGATAGAAATCTTAAAAAAGAGAAAAGAAAAAGATTATCAGAGGGCAACCTGGACATTGTCATGGCAGTGTCCATAGAGGCTTTATTTGAGAACATAGGGCATGGAGTGTTATTTTTAATCAAAGTTTCTACTGCTGGAAACCCATTTTATTCACTGGATTCAGCCAGGTCAAGGCTCTTTTTAAGGTGTTCAGGCTCTCCTGAATCTCCTAAAATAAGTCAAAGAAATGTTTGGTTCAGAGATTTGACAAATTCATGATAAGACTTCTGGGATGTTTTAAAATATTTCTGACTGCTACTACTGCCTTAACAACTGTCGGTGAATTGATATTATTTGGAAAAACTCTGTTTCCCAGTATAGAACAAAAAGAAAAATTCCACCTGTTTTAACTATTCTGAAGAAGTTATTGAAATGATGTATCTTACTTTTTATATTTTTATCAGTTTTTCAGAAGTTTTGTTATTAGCATTTAAGTTGCATGACTGATCTTGGACACCAGAAGAAACAGAGAGTAATGCCCCACTAGAGAGTTACTGTGGACTAGTCATCACTCAACAGAAAATAGCTTTCTGCAGTAAAATATGGTTACACCATGTTATAAAATATCAGCAAACTGAATGAATAAGCTAATGGTGAGCAATTGGGCTTTCCAACTAAAGGAGCTCTGTTAATTTTTTTCCAATAATTATTTAGTTTCAAGAATGGGCTCTTTTGATATTTTAACTTTATTGTATAAACAATTATTTGCATGGTAAATTCATTCTGAAGCTTGATAGGTCACCTCATTTCCATCCATGTTCAGGGCTTTGTATAAAAAGCAGAGATATCAGGGAAGCAAAAACCACATGTATTATGTATTATAGAACTCAAGTTTCAATATAAAAACTAGAAAAGCAAGGCCCCCAAACCCCAGTGGGAATGGTATTCCACATTACCAGTGGATTACCATTATGCCATGGACTTGAACTTTCATCTTTTACCTTAAAGTCAGCTGAAGGTAATAATAGAAGAGTTTGATAGAGTCACAGAGTCATAAGTAAAAAAAGACACTACAATTCACTGAATCTGTAACTTTGCTTCTCACTAAAATTGTCTCTGAAATAAAGGACATCATTCATATTCTTCTTAAGGGCATATTTTAACAATATATAATAGACATATTTGCAGTCAGTTTCTAAACTAAAATTCTTTTCTTGCTATTTGACATTATACTTATTATTTTTTTAGCTCTACTTTGCTCCTTCTTAACTGTGCTTCAGGTCTTGTCCCCAGGAAGCGGGACTAGAGGAGGAGTGAAAGGAAAGAAATAGAGCTGAGAGAATTGGGTTAAAGGTGTCAGAGTTGGAGGCAGGAAATTTAGTGAATGGTGAAAATTGCTGAAATCCTTTATAGGTGGAGGGCTTGGTAGAGAACCAAGAGATACTATAGTAGCAAATATTATGTCTGGTTTTACATTGCTATTGGCTACTTATAGACTGAAACAGCTCTGCTTCTTCAATGGCAGGGACCATGCAGAGGATGCCCTTGCGTCCGGTCAAGGAAGTGCTTCCCCCAATTCCAGAGCTTGAAGTTCCTTCCCTGGTGCATCAGCAGGAGCAGTACATGCGGTGAGTGACCATTTGGCTTCATTGATGTTCGACTTTGTTCATTACAAATGTGAAGAGATCCAGGGAAGTCAAGTATACTTCAAACTGCGTTTCTCTCTGAGAGTAGGAATTGAAAATGATGAACTTGAAAAATCAGCTCATGTGAATGAGATGACATGAGATAAAATTACTTTTTTCTCCAAGGTGTACGAAGGACCAATAAACTGATCTGTTAGTCTGTCAGTGCATCCCTTGGCACTGTGTCCTGGGGTTGAGTCATAATTCCAGCAGGCCAATCATTGTTTCAGATGGAACAAGAGAAACAAGAGCATGTAAATTTACAAGGCAGAACTACCCACTGACCACACTGTCTTCTTGGCTGTAATGGAGGTTCCATTACATAACAGGATTGGAAAGAACTCTTAATCAGTGACTTGAGGAAGATTTTTGGTGTTCTTGTAAGACATAGTTTTGATAAATGGTTTTTAAGTTGTTTTCCACTAATTCTTTATTATGTGATTAATATTTGCCTCCCCCCCCCCCTCAATTTTCAGAAGATCCTTCTGAAGTCCTCTGGACAGCTTGGACCAAGCCCTTTTGAAGAACACCCATAATTTTATTTTGGGAATGTGTTAACTGGTAAATACATGAGTCCAGCTGAGGATGCACGACAGGAAATAGCAGGGATGCCGACCGGTTAGTGAAAACAAGCTCAAGAGCACTCACTGGACCCATGAGATCAAAGCAATGGGAGTGTTTTCCCAGGAGGCCATTATGAGCCATGGAAACAAGCTGACGAAACCCATGGAAATAGCAAAAGAACGCATGTTCTCCTTGTCTGTCCATCTTCATGTAGCTTACAACAGCTCCAAGATTTTGATTTTAAGGGATCAGCAACAGGGTCAAGCATGAAACTGTTTTCTCTCATTGGCTCACATTGCAGATTCTGGCTTGATGGCTTTTCCTGGGCAGATGGATTGTTCCTCTTTGGCAAGCTCCTCGAGAGGGCCTGGGATGTGCGCTTCTACATTTGTTTGGATTTATAAATCTGGCCTCCTTTTGGCACTGAGAGTGTTAAAAACTATCAAAGATACTAAAAAAAATAAATTTAAGTGAAATATTAAGTGGAACTTCAATATTGAAATCTAATAGCAAAATGCGTGCTCTGATTCATTTGGCTTTCATATTTTTACAGCTATCATTGATATCAGGAATGGTTATAGTTTTACTTATAAGAAAAACACACATATATGAGATGACAGTTCTTACTGAAAAATACAGAAATACCTTCTCAGAGTTAAAGTAGAATTTAACCTCTTGTCCTCATTATTTGGTTAAAATTGCTTAGCTGAATAGACTAGCAGAATTCCCAGAGTTGGGAATTCTGCTAGTCTCACTTTTTCTTGTCTGTGTACCCCTGATTAATAGGTGAGTCAGGCTCAGGTCTGGAATATTCAGCAGGAGTGTAGGGGTGTCACACTCCATGAGGTGTGCATACTATACAATTTCTGAGAAGCCAAGCTCTTGTTTTCTCGCACATCCCCTATTCTGTTCAGACAAATGACTTGGAAATCAGTGGGTACTTGGCTTACCAAAGGCATAAATTAAGCTTCAAGTTCTGCTAAATTGCATGAGTTTTCTGGAAGCTAATTTCACTTATTTATTAAAATAGTAGACTTTAACAGATACTATGAAGCATTCAAAGATATAGTTAGCCTGCTCTCTTCTACAGAGTTTATAGTCTTGTAGGGGAGACAGAACAGGCATACCACTAGTTATAATACCAGACACAATCGAGTAAGATAAGTGTGTCATTTGCAGGCTCCATGCTTCCTGCCGGGAGTTCACAGGCCTATGGTATCTGTTAAGGTCCACTTGCTTCTCTGTCTACATGTTTCTTAATAATCTCCAGCTATTGATGCTATTCTGATGGGTGGTGATTTTAGGGGGGAGTGGAAGCCCTTACATTTTAAAAATCTAAATAAGGTATGTTATCAGATTACCTAGAGGTAGGACAAACAAAAGGATGCATTTAAAAAAATCCCTGTGAACTAGCAATTCTATACTTTGGTAAGGACAGGATGGTGAAGAAACTCCCGTGAGGCGAAGGACAAGATGCAGTGCGCATGTTTGAACAGGGGGAAAACGGAACATTTTGGCAAAAATATGATACGTCACAAAATCTTCTAGAAGAATTAATGTTTTCTACCTCCTGAGAGTTAAGGTTGTTACCAGAAGAAAATATGGAGATAATATTGCTGCTTACTAGAAGAATATCATTTTGCGGGTTATTAGTTAGGATACTTTCATCTTCAAGTAACAGCAGGCCCTAGTCAAAATGTGTTAAATAATAAGAAGATTTATTATCTTACCTAACAGAAGTTCTGGGTAGTGTTTCCAGGGTTAGTTAATTCGAGAACTCACATCATCAATCATCCAGTTTCTTTCCTCTCTTCTCTGCCATCTTCAGCTGCTGTCTTCAGGCTTCTCTGTCAGGATTCCAAGAAGCGATTGTATGAAATGTTAGTATCACATCATCAATAATCATCACATCCTATATCACAATGTCCTTTTTAAAGAGTAAAGAAACTTTTACAGGAAGTCCCCCAACCCTCACCCAGCAGATTTTTCTTCACATTAGAGCATCTAGAATTGGATCATAGATCCACTCTTAAACCAGTCAGTGACAGGGGTGGGACCCTTGGGAAGTAGAGGGTCAAGATTTTCCTGGTCCTTAAGGAGAGAGGAACTGACCATCAGAACGCAACTAGAACTCTCAACATGGAAGAAGGGTGCTGGGTGTCTCTGTGAATGTTCTTCCTCAGGTGCAAGTTGATGTGCAGAGAGAAACTTGCCAAAGACAGAACACGGGCTTGTTTTCTCCTCAAAATAATCTCTTCAGGCATGCTGAGGCTGTTCTTCAAGCAGTGCCATTGCCCATCCTATTGTGATGGTGTCCGCCATGTTGTCTTGGGGCCATTATTTCCCTCCAAAGATGCATCTCTTTTCAGATGTAATTAGCCCGTCTATTTTCACATAGAAAAGTGATACCACACACCAGTGTGTGATTACCTTTGACCAATGACATTGGTCATTACCTTTCTCTCATAACCCTACACAAATGTGTCCTTAGGGAATTACCTCTCACCCATTGAAGGACAACTTGGTGGGACTATACATCAAGGTTTCTTGCCCACCAGCTAAGGGGTGGCACGTGACATGAGCTAGGTCCATTTGACCCTCTATTTTTAAAATATATTTTATTAATTATGCCATTACAGTTGTTCTATTTCCTCCTTCATTCCCCTCTACCCTGCACACCCCTCCCCCACCATTCCCCCCTTTAGTTTACGACCACCACTTATTTATCTTTATAGGGGAAGGGAAGGAGAGAGAAGGAGAGAAATATCAATGTATGGTTGCCTCTCCTGTGTCCCCTGCCGGGAACTGGCCTGCAACCCGGGCATGTGCCCTGACTGGGAATCGAACCATGATACTCTGGTTCACAGGCCCGCACTCAATCCACTGAGCTACACCAGCCAGGGCTAAATATATTTTATTAATTATGCCATTACAGTTGTTCTATTTCCCCCCTTCATTCCCCTCCATCCTGCACACCCCCTCCCTCATTATTCCCCCCCTTAGTTTATGACCACGTGTCTCAAGTTCTTTAGATTCTATATTTCCCATACTATTCTTGCCTCCCCCCGTCTATTTTCTACCTACCATCTATGCTACTTATTTTCTGTACCTTCTCCCACCTTCTCCTTCTTCCATTCCCCTGTTGCTAACCCTCCATGTGATCTTCATTTCTATGGTTCCGCTCCTGATCTAGCTGTCCTCTTAGTTTGCTTTTGTTTTAGGTGTGGTTCTTAATAACTGTGAGTTTGCTGCCCTTTCACTGTTCATCTTTTTCATCTTCTTTTTCTTAGGTAAGTCCCTTTAACATTTCATATAATAAGGGCTTGGCGATGATGAACTTCTTGAATTTGATCTTATCTGAGAAGCACTTTATCTGTCCTTCCATTCTAAATGAAAGCTTTGCTGGATAGAGCAATCTTGGATGTAGGTCTTTGGATTTCATGACTTGGAATACTTCTTTCCAGCCCCTTCTTGCCTGTAAGGTCTCTTTTGAGAAATCCACTGACAGTCTGATGGGAACTCCTTTGTAGGTGACTATCCCCTTATCTCTTGCTGCTTCTAGAATTCTCTCCTTCATTTTAATCTTGGCTAATGTAATGATGATGCGCCTTGGTGTGTTCCTTCTTGGGTCCAACTTCTTTGGGACTCTCTGAGCTTCCTGGATTTCCTGGAAGTCTATTTCCTTTGCCAGATTGGGAAAGTTCTCCTTTATTATTTGTTCAAATAACTTTTCCACTGGTGACTGTTCCTCTTCCCCTTCTGGCACCCCTATAATTCGAATGTTGGAACATTTCAAGATGTCCTGAAGGTTCCTATGCCTCTCCTTATTTTTTTGAATTCTTGTTTGTTCATCCTCTTCTGTTTGGTCATTTTTTTCCTCTTTCTGGTCCATTCCTTTGATTTGAGTCCCAGTTTCCTTTCCATTACTATTGGTTTCCTGTGCATTTTCATTCATTTCAATTAGTTTAGCTTCCATATGTTCCTCTAGTTTGTAACTAAAATCAACCAGTTCTGTGAGCATCCTGATCACCAGTGTTTTGAACTGTGCATCTGAAAGTTTGGCTATTCCTTCATCGCTTAGATTTATGGGCTCTGGGGCTCTGAGTTGTTCTTGAGCCATGTTTTGATCATGCCTGTTAGGTACGAGGAGCGGAGCCTTAGTTGTTCACCAGTGTGAGGCCACCCAGGTCGCTAGTTTGTGACACTGTATGTGGGGGCGGGGCCAGAGAGGGACAATGGTGGTTCTCTCTGCCGCTTTCCACCACTGGGGCCTGCGCGGTCCGTCTCACCACCACTAGCTCTTGGTTTATCTGCGAGAATGTGGGACCAAGGTCCGCCCTCAGTGGGTCCAACACCTTGCGCCCTCAGTGGGTCTGCCCACTACTCCACACCTGGGATCTGCCCACGGCTGCTGGCGCACCTGGGTTGCGTGCAGGGTCAGTCTGGTGGATCTTTCCTGCCTGACCCCGCTCTGCTGCTGGCTCTGCCCCTCTTATCGGTTTGGCTGAAGGGTTCGTTGTTGTCAGACTTCCACATATTTCAATTTTCTGTGGTTTGGCTGCGTTTTTGTTGCTAAAACTTTGTTGTTTTTAAACTTGGTTGTGTGAGAAGGCGAAGTGCTTCCACCTACGCCTCCATCTTGGCGGAAGTCCAGTGACCCTCTATTTTTGATTTACAGGTTCACTGACAGGAGGGTGGGAAAAATGAGTGGAGCACATTCATTCCAGCAGCAGAGTTGAGTGGTTTCTGCTTTCAGATATCACGATAGATGAACCCTATGGCCACCACTCTGCCTTGGTTTTGAGCCTGTTCCTCTGGCCTTCCATTTGGTTCTGTGAGCTATCATTAATATCTTTGTAAAAAGATCTTTTTCCTGCTTAAGTTTCTGAGCTGGTTTCTGTTGCCTGCTGGATACAAAATTTATTATAATTCATAAAGTCACAGGATGTCTCAGCTGTAAGAAACTTTATAAATCATCTGGCTACACTCCATTTTTTAGCCGAGGAAACTGAAACCCCAGGGGTTGAGAGTTTTACCCGAGATCACATCACAGAGTTTGTCAGTGACAAAACTTTGAAGAAGACAAGGTCTCCTTGGCCCACGGGTCTCCTCTGCTTTTTATTTTAATCCCTTTTTGGTATAAACCACAGTCTCTGTGTCCATCTCTCCCCACCCACTACCCACTGCAAATCTCAATAGAGAGTAGTGACTTAAAACCTTCATTTTTTAATTCCAAACTGACAATTTGCTTTGTGCACTTTAAAAACTTGTTTCACAGATTGTCCTTTCAGAGATTTGGCATTTGGCAAAGCCAGGCACCACTTTATATCCTTATATGGAGCCCCGATTCTTTCCAGCTATCTTTACGTGTTTGGAAAGGATGTGGCGTGCTCTAGGGAAACATATGGGCTGGGGTTCTGACAGTGATTATTTACCATTTCTAAGTCTAGCTTCTAGCTGTGTGCATGTGGGGAGAACCTTC